TTCTTGCATTGCTATTTTAACTTTATAATTATAACAATGTTTTCTCTTTAATGATTTTTTAAAAATAATTTACACTTATACTTAAAATTGTATATTATTTCGTGTTGATCTGAATTTAATAGCCACCAACTGGATCGCGATATCGCATAAGCGATCATAGCTTTTCATATACCCTAGATTCATCCTTGATTGCTTGTCCGAGCGGATAATAATCATAATCCAATAACGAGACAACCGTTGATTGCCTTTTTTCGTGCGTTATAACGAACCGCGCGCCTTGTAAACCAACGATAGCCTTTATCGCGCCTACCATACTGAGGGGAAACTCGTAAAGTCAGGGTAATACCTTGTTTGGTTCTTGTTTATTACAGGCGATGCGAAAAGGGTTGTTTTAACGCGAGCGATTCGTATATTCGACGCAGCTTCGAAAGATAACGACAGATGAATGATAACGTGCGATAGTGACTTCGTCGTTAAACTTTAAATATATGCATTTATGTGTAAGGTGGTTTAGCCTTCAGCCCCGCGGACAGCCGCCCGAAGCATATATTTTTATACTTCCTCGCGTTTGGTGCCGCTCACGTGCAGCGAGCGTCGCATTGAAAGTTATTAATTTCTTGCGTGGTCGGAGGGGAAACTTTCGGATGGAAAAAATTATCGTTACGTAAACGACTTTATCTGCCTCGTAGCGGCCAACAATGTATACTCGTGAGTCGAGAAATCTGACTTCGTTCAGCTGACGGAGCTGGCCGCGGCTCGAAAAAAGATTGGGCCACCTGAGAAAAGTCGAGTCACTAATGGCGTTAATTCTTCAACGCGTAATAGCTTGATAGGCGTCTCCGATATCTCGTTTCGGGGGTGCACGTGACGAGGGGAGGCGAGGGGTGAGAGGGGGGAGCCGCTGGGTCACGAAAACCATCAACTGACCATTGTCCTCCGAGCGTTCCTCCGTGAACGCCATTGTGGCGCTCGCGGAGACCCCGGCAAAAACGGGCGTCGAGCTGCCAACGCGCCTCATTTTGTTAACGTCTCTATTTTTAAGGCCGAGATCGCCGAGACGCTTCGGTAACGATATAACCGAATGAAAGCCACGTGAACTCAATAATGCCCGATCGATCCGCGTCGAATCCGCGTTATACAGCCGAGTATCGTAAAACACGGACGCGCGCGTTTCACGGAGCGTGTTTCGCAGACTGGTCCACGGAAACGCGGTATAATCTCAGAGAGTCTGACCTCTCCGAGGCGAGTCGAGGCGCAAAAAAAAAAAAGGAAGAAAAGCAGAAAGGCACAGAGCGGTTACGCGCGATGAAATAAAATTGCTACACAATACCCACAAAGACGTAGGCGGCATAACTCCTAACAATTGAATGTCCTGTGAATGTCTTTTAATTAAAATCCATTTTTGCGCAATCACCGGCAGGGTTTGCGGTTGCGAGAGGATATAAAACGGTATTTAATGGAATACAAACATTTCGCTTTACTGTCAGGAGTACGGCGAGTCGCGTATCGCGCAACAATAACACCGGCGGTTAAATTTGTATTCATCGGCGATTGTGACGGCAGTGTCCGCTTCATTTGTAGCGAAAAGAAATTGTGTTTTGCTATACACATACACTCTCTCTCTCTCTCTCTCTCTCTCTCTCTCTCTCTCTCTCTCTCTCTCTCTCTCTCTTTCTGTCATTATTTTTTCAAACAGATCACGTGATACGTCTTATGTTATTAAAAAGATCGAGCATGGCATTTTTCACCTGTGCTAATTACGACTCCTATCATGTGACACTCGTATTATTAATTAATTATGCAAAATGCACATAAAAACATATATACAATGCGTACACATATACAAAGTTTATTTAATTTGTATTAATTCTACTTTAAATTATCATTTGCAGGTCCTTAATGTTGTTGAAAAGTTACAACAGTTAAATCCAACAATTGCCTAACTTTGTGCGTGAATTGTGATATACATATGTTAAAAGCGTAACAGCTCTACAGCTTCCTGTACTTAACGCAATTACGAGTTTTCATTTAGTCACTTTTTTCTTACACTGCATTTTTTACGATTTTTTTACCAGCAACTTGAGCTGCGTTCCTTCAATAAAGAAACTTTCGCGTTATCTGATCTTTGTGCTCTTTATGCCGTTGTTCTCTCCGCGGCCACCCATTCCGGCCTCACTTTTCGTAGAACATAAGAAATATGACGCTTATCGCGGGTAACTCTTTTTCTCACTCGCGCAATTTTCCACCATATTACCGGTAGTGCTAGTCGATGAAGCACATTCGTCGAGGGAAGAGAATCATTACGATCCGTGACATGTATGCTTTACTATACTAACTATAGGATTTCCTGACTTGTGTAGCTTGAAAAACATGGAACTTTTTATATTTAAAAATTTCTTAACGTATATACTACAAGATATTAGAAAAGTTAAAATAAGAATAACAGTGAAAAAATGTGTGACATATTTATGTTTTATTTGAAATTTTCTTTCTGGATGAAACCATTTTGTTTAATTGTTACAACTAAAATTTTTCTTTCTGAATGAAACCATTTTGTTTAATTGTTACAATTAGAATTAATGAAAAAGCATAAAAGCTATTTATAATACATAGGATAAATAAATTTATCTCTTTATAAAAATGTATAAATTGTGATTTTAATTTTTTTAGTTATAATAATTATAATATTGTAACATTATTACTTTACCAGCAACTTGAAAGGTGAAACATATAAACATCAAAAGCGATTTTTTTATTCATTATGTAAAATTAACATGCTGTGAGAGATAATTGAGTCGAGGGCATTAAAAATTACAGCATTTAGTTTGGAAGCGAATAAACGCGTTTGCGTGAAAAACTTTAATAAAATTTGAATTCAAACTAAACTAGATAGGATACTAGATACTACGTAAACTAGATCCTTTTATTACTGGGAAATCCATTTAGAATCATAGTAGAATCAATTTCCTAAGCATCTCACTTGTTTACTTCTTAAACCTCTTTAAACTTACGTTAAATACCTTGCTAAATACCTTTATTTGTTTGGCTTTTAAGTACCGGCAATAGAAGAATCTGATACATTCGACTCCCTTAATCATTCTTGACACACTTTGTACATTTCGTTTCTACGAAGCTGGACGTCGCATGTTTCTTTGTTGCGCTATAAAGTTATGCGATATTATCAGCACAATTTTAATGAATTTTTTCATCTCTCTGAAAATGAAATGAGCTCTGGAAAACTTAATATATGCGGATACAGAGATTCAAATAAAGTACGTGAAATAAAAACAGGGAACGTTAATTTTACTTTGTATATTAAATATTGTCCATGTATATGTATATTAAAATTTATATTCGCCATAAAAGCGACGCGTTATGTAGTGCATGTAAAAAGTACATCATTATAATCATTATTATAAATACTTACTGCCATGGTTTGCAGATTAATTCCTTAATATTTTATATGTATATATAATTTGATACAAATGGGGATAATTCAGATTTTTCTAAAAAGTGGAAATCTTAAATCAAATATCGTATGCTATATCGGTTTAATGAGTTTTTGCATATACTAATTCATTTTCTAATAATTATATCGCTCACGTTTTTCCAACAATGAATACTGTTTTACGAAACTCAGTTTTCTAAATACGTCGGCGTAGTTATAATTTAAATAAAGAAAAACAAATACATTCGCCGCGGGGTTTATTAAAAATTACAATTTTAATTAGGAGTGTGCATTAATTATTGACTAGACTTGCTATTTTATATTGTTCAAATTTCTCACAAAATACAAGAATATTATTTTTTATTCATAATAATTCTTTGATATCTCGCATGCAAGATCATCAGATGACGCGAATATGCAATTTCTTTCGTTTTTGTACATTCTTTAAAATAATGGTAAAGCATAATAGATGAAAGCAGTATTTAATACGTATTTAAAAGATTATACGGAGACACAATGGTTCTGTAAATTAAAAAGTAAGTTGCCTGCATCTCTGTGCAGTGATAGCTGATTAAGATTCCATTCACGAAGAGTTTCCGATCCGATTTTCGCTCTAGGTCTACCATAGTTTCACTTACGAATTGCAATATGCAGCCGCGCGACGTGACGGGGATGTCTGATTTATCATTCGTGGTTATCACCGCGCCGTCGAGTATCAATCATATACGCGTGAAATCGATACCAAAATCACGAACAATACAATACTACGTGTACGTTCGGCAAATTTCCAAATCGCGGCGAAAAACGGAAAAAAAGGGTATATGTGATGTCGAGATGCACGAAGCGAAAGCATCCCTGAGATGCTTGACCTAATTTTCTAGAAATTTTGACGCGATTATTATGCATATACTAGCGGTAATATTTGCACGATAGGCTCGCGAGATGCGGTAACAAATATATATAGTTGCGTGACGATAAAATCGCGAATGGAATTTGCCTGAGGTTTGCACATGTTTTCAGGAACCCATTTACAATGCCTATCATAGCGACACGGTCTTTTTAATGATTTATGAGCTCCGTTCACTTGTATGTTCTGTAATAATACTCGCGGCTTAATAAAGATTTTAATGAAAACGAAATACGGCTTAATACAGATTATCTCTCGATACACATACGCATTTTTTACAATTGCAATATTTAATGTAATTGATGCTACTCTTTTATTTGTTCCGTATATATCGATGGGAGTCTCGAGGGAATAAAGTATCACACGGAAAAAACAGACTATAATATAGCCTCCAGTTTTCAATTAATTAATACACCCACCTTGTCATTTGTTTATGAGTCACTCAGTCGTGAATTAACCAAGTGATCGAGTTTCGTAATTTTCGAAATAATACGCCGCCGACAGATTTTTAGCGAATTTTTTGCGGGCGGAATTCCGCATCGATCGCTTTTAACATTAGATTACCCCGTGGCAAATACACATGCACACATAGGGACGAGTCACTGATTGGAGCATAACAGCGCGCGGGGCCGAGGGATATTTGCGAGGATTGATAAATTTTCGCCTTGAATGCCTGACCTCCGGGGGTTAACCCGGAGTTTCCGAAGAGAGCTTCGAAGGCCGTTTTTCGCGCGCGAGCTTACGCGTTAAAGCGTTAAACGCGCCCGGTGCCTGAGACAGTTTCCACAATTGCTGCCGCGCGTGAACGGCTGGGAGCCATACGACAACGCCCCCGTTCCCATTTATATACTTCAACGCCTCTAGGAACAGTGAAACGAAAATGAATTTCTGAAACCGTCGGGATACCGGTGCCGAGATAACGTATATACCCTCGTTATACTTGCTGAATCCTTCTTAATGAACGTACGCATCACGCTCGTTTATTCAAGATATACGGACGCACGGACCGAACGGGTAAGTGGCGAAATATCCTTAACACAGAGGCGTTTCCAACTAACAATGAGTTTATAATCTGACGCACCGGGAGTATATAGAGTGTGTACGTCCTTTCAACAGACGCGTCTCGGAAACAGACGGGAGGAGAACCCGAGGTGAGAGATATAAACGCGCGTCTCCCGCTAATTTTTTCCAACAAGAACACTTGACATTAATTTTATCATAGAATCTGCAGCGACTAAGAAGGTCGTCTTCTGTAAAAAGCTACGAAATGCGTCTCTTGGTAAGTGAAAGCGTTTATAACGCTCCCATTTATTATCCCTGCGGGTATCGCGCCTTTAAAATTTTCAGATGCTCCGAGTGATGCGGGTGATACGGGAAATTTTAATGAGCTCATTCGAGAGTGGTGGACGCGGCCGAAGCGACGGGTAAGGTTGATGGTCGCGGGAAATGTATGTATGCGCGCGAGAAAACGTATCCGCTACAGCTATAGCAGAGACACATCTCATCTCGTCCCGAACCACCGCGGATGAGAACGGCTAGACACGGGAGACGTAAACAATGTAGTATGTCAGATTATTAATGCAGCGCGGCAATAAATGTTCGAAGATACTTCCTGTCATTTGTATGCGCGCTTCTGCACTCGACCGCCTTCGGGTGGATTATCCCCGAACAGGTCGGGTCAGGTTGCGCTGCCGCGAGAGAGATGTTACGTGTGTTACGTACCACGCGATCATCACAAAATCATGGAACTTGGTGGAGCAAGTGCTGATACACGGACGGAAGAGCGGAAAGATGCATAAAATGTTTTATTACAGTTTTTCCCATCGATCTCTATAGTGAATTGATTCCTATATATACGTTGGCCTGGAGCAAAAGCTGTGATACACATATCTGCACAGTGTTGCTCCTCCCGGTATATATTTACATGAATTTTTTTTTATTCCGATATTTTTTATTCGCTCGGCGCGATTCAAGCACTTCTACGCAAAATTCTTTCGCTGAATCTTTTTGATGCTAACGTGTAAACATCTCGTAAGAAGTAGGTACGGTGAAAAATGCAATTTTATACCCGCTCTACACGCGTCTAAATTATATTTATATTTATATCTTCGAAAATTTAATTGCAATTCGTAGAAATACCCACAATCACATGTTACAACGTTACGAACCGTTGAAAATTACCTTTTCGTCGTTCTGTATTTCGTATAATCGTCAAGCGATTATATTGTACATCATTCAACTGAATAAATCGAATGCTGCGGTGACATTTGAAATGTGGCGGTATGTACGCCGATTGTGTTTCGTGAATCTCTGTTATCCCATCTACGAATCCAGTATTAAACTCGAGCCAGCTTGGTCATCTATAAATGCCATACACGCGGATTATTTTATTACGTTAAATCGTTATTACAGTTTAGTGTTGCTCAATTAACTTTCCGTCATGCGTACGTTACCGGAATCGAACCGGAGCCGCGAATAGTTTGGACGGTTCGTTAAACAAACTATATATCCGACATTTAAAATAAATGGCAAGTATTTTATGCGATATCACATTCCATTAATCTTCATTAAAAAAAAACAGAAGTTCAGTAAATTTGCCTAACTCCTTAAGCTTGTCTTGAACCCGTTCTTTCGTTTTAATGTATCTTGCAACATAACTCTTTATTACTTGACAGTCAGCCTAAGATTATTCAGTCCTTTTTTTTATGCAAGTATTTTACGCAAGGTATCTGCTGAAACACGTATGCTGTATCAAAATTAACGGTCAAATGTAGGGAGTTGTAGCTATTGGTGTATCTGTATTGATCACGTACATCAGCCGCAAGGCTAATTTCTTCCGTTCAAATACAATTATTTCCTCACTCCGTTGATCAGCATTTGAACTCGGTAGCATGTGGCAAACATTGTTACCTCTACACAAGGATATACATTTCCACGCCAATTTAGCAAATAACGCTTAATTGACCGTAACATCGGGGAGATCAGAAGCCGTAGTAGGAATATTAACTAACTGTTAAATAGACAGATAAAAAATTTTAAAATTCTTTATTACCAGCACAAAATTACTAACGATCTTGGCATCACGATTACATTGATATCTTTTTTTAAATCTCTCTCATTGACCTAAGCTGTCGCCAGTTATGAATTAGAACTTGGTAATTAACTTTTTACACAGCTAACATTGTTACATATAATATTTTTTAGTCCACCTTCTTTTACATAGTAGTTTTGATGAGCAGTCGTAAATTATATTAAATGTAAAAAGTTGCAAGCAAATATAGATATGATAACTGATAAGCTTTTACGAACGATGACATTTTTAACGATCCCGAGGAATCAATCAGAATTCTTGATATCTCTTGCAATATGACCTCTCTCTGTTTCTCCGAAGCACTCCAGTCAATTTATTACCCAAACAGAGTTAGTAAGAGAAATGAAAATAATATGACGATTATTCGATTCATTAATCATTGGCGATTGGATATTTCAGTTTAGTTTCTCTTCTTTAAAATGTGATTACGCGATGAGAGCTGTCGCACACAAATTAATATGAAAGCGTACATACGTTTGCGCAGTACACAATTTATTACATGTGGCGTGCTTTATATGACTCATTTTGTACGCCACAATTTATGCTAAATGTTTCCGTGGAAACAAGACATTTTTTTGCGTTATGCTTGTGCGCATGTAGTGTAGCTCGCCAAAACTCGCTAATAGTCATCATAAGTAACAGGCCCTTTAAGATCAATCGCACTTTCTATAACGCATAGTAATAATGATCAAAGTTACGTAGCATTAAGACCAGGCGCGAAGACTATTGTATGTAGATTGCATTTCTAACATTGCATGGATACATTTGAAATTAATAACCACGAAAATTCACACAATGCGATTCCGATACATGCAACATATCAATAGCTAATGATGAATAGACGAAATATATACACGATAGGTTACTAAAACTATCGCGGACTCATGTCGAACAATAGAGTATAATCGTATAATACAAGAAAAGCTTGCACGTGATAAAATGTTATCTCTTAATACTTTTCTCGGCATAATTTTTAATTTAAAGATTAATTAAAAATACAACTAATAATCTTACACTCAGATAATAATAAAAATTTATAAGGATTATTTTGATAATATTTTAACGCACACGTCAATTTAGCAGTATTAATTTAAGCATAAAATTACGTTTAAAAATCCCACTTAAAATACGAAATATACGACTAAATTGTCGAAATGAATTTTACACTCACTGATATTTCGAATGCTGTGAATATCGACGCACTCGCTAAAATGTTCGTATCGCGTAAAATCGTGCTCACTTTGCTATCCAAACATGTATAACAGGCAGTTCCGTTCGTGGATATTTCAGTCCGCACAGTTTGGTACTGATCACTATAGACAGAAATAAACACGCTTACGATTTTATATATTCCAGCTTTAATATTTAATATCGCGAAAGGATCCAAATTAATTTTCCGAATACGCTAGCACGGCACATTATTTTAATTGTATTTAAAGCGATTTAGTAGATTTACGTGCTAACAGAATAAACATGAAAAACATGAAAAGTGACTTTTAACTGCGCGACATTTTTGTGATAAGCTCCTTGTGTGCAAGAAAAGGAACGGGCGCGTTCACGAGTTCGCCGAAAGAAGCTCACTTTACTTTAGAATAGTCAACTTGCGCTTACTTTGAATGGTGGAGAAATTCTCTGTCATTTCCCACTTTGCGTAGCATTACGATGACAAGTATCGTTATCGCATCAGCCGTACGAAGGCTGAGAGAGCTTAACTGTGAATCCATTGATCGTTAAAAGTTGCTTCAAGTTTTCACCCGATTAATTGCGAAGTAGCAGTGTGGCGCGTTTCTTTTTTCCCGTCGATTAACTTTTCATCTTTGTTCGTTCGTTCTCTCCCGAAATGGTATCGAATTTTGTGTAATAGTTCGAAAAGAAAAAAAATAGAAAGAGAGAGAGAGAGAGAGAGAGAGAAAAGATTGCAGATCTGCGGAATCTCAATAATCAATAAATTATGTAACTTATACTTTACATTCCGGCGCGGTCCGAGTACGTTTGTGAACGAAGCAGAATTTTTCGCATCGTGCATATAAATGCATTTTATATATCTACATCAATTTCCATTACTACATTCCTCATTCACTCTTCGCAACATCTCCAGATTTTATATAATGTAATTTGAAATGATATTTCAGCTTATTGTATTGTCATCTAGTTCAATTTGAATACGTAATTACAAAAGCTAAGTTAGTTTAATTAATGTTTTATTATTACCTTTTTGGTTTGATTATCGACGACGATTATATTTGCAAATTACAACGGGATCCTTTGAGTATTACGAAATCATCAGTTTCATGAGAATCATCTTGTAATTGTGCTCTTTATTGTGTTAATTTTATATCACTTGTTAGAGAGATTATTAGTAGTCTTTCATATTGGCGAACAATATCAGAATGAAGTTCTCGTTTAATTATCAAGTTTACATAGTTAGGTATATTGTTGATATACTTTGAGAATGAACACCATCAAAGTTTAGTATTTTCACTGGTAAGAAGCTAATTACTTCCCTATTCTCTTCTATTTGTGCATTTAATTAATACGATGATAATCCGGATATTTCATATTTAACATATCCTTTATACACAGCGCAACTTTATATAATTATTAATCTTAAAATATTAATACGATTGAAAATTTAATTTTTAACAATGAATAATTTATTTTTAATAACACAGTAATAAATAAAAAAAGATCACAAAGAGCGGCGTTTATATGTTTATTTAGATTCAGCACGAAATCACAGAACATTAAAAACTGTATTCCAGAAGCGCGTAATAATTTACTATTTGCCGAAATGTTAAAAGTAATATTTAACCGTTCGCTAATACGAGTGACGATGCGTTTTATTTTGTTAATCGGTATCACCAAAGATTTAATTTTCAACGCGATCGTGGCTAGCGTTGCTCGCGACCGGCGGCAAGTAGTAACGGTCGACGCGTGGTACCGGCATCAGCGACGCGTACGCGACGGATCTGCGCCGCTGACTGAAACCAGGCCGGCTCCGGACTAGTCCGGGATACCGCACACCTCGCCGACTCCGTGGCCAATCGTGAACGAGCCGTATGTCTTCACGTTCCTCGCGCCACCCTTGTGCACGCATCAATCCTTACGCAATATCGCTGTATAAATATATGTTCGTGCGATCGACCCCCTGCACATACGTCGGCACTATACGACACGCCGATTAACGCTCGAGCGAAATAGTTCCTTCGTTTGCGCGCGACGATAGTACGCGAAATGTATTGCTCGCGGCGATCGCACACTCGTACTTCCCACGGACGAGTAAGCCCACGTACAATTTCCCTCCTACATTTTAACGCGACGAGAATTTTACCGGTTTAAACGACACGAGATTTAAGCAAACTCACCCGCTTAGCTGCTGTAGCGCGCGCGCGCAGCTTGCTAGAACAAAATATATACAAGATATCGTACCGAAGCTGCGAAGGGTTGGAAATAAGATAGCGGCAAACATTTTATATACGACCACGAGATTTATTGTCGCGGAAAGTAGCATTACATCCCTCCGGAGGTATAATCCTCTCTCCAATGTATACAACGTTCTACTCCCATGTATCCGGAAGGCTACCGTCTGGAAGGCTTCAGGCACCATCAGTAGGAGCATTTTTGTGATATGTGTAACACAACACGCGCGCTCCACGCTACCTTGTAGGATAACGTCTCGCGCGCGCGAAAACGCCCATCTCACCCAGCGCGTCACAATCCGACACGGTGTTGCTCGAGCATCTCGCTCGCATCCTCAAAACAAAATCTTGCCAGCGTTCCTTTGACGTAACCCCTCTCCCCAGTTATTTTCTCACTCTTATTCACTCCACCTTGCCAAACATGCCTTTAGATCAATTCTGTTTAACGTATAATTTTGCAGCCTAACTGCGTTTATATCCTAATGCTATGGGCGTGTACAAATATATGCATACATTCTATAGACACCGCACAAACTTACTACTAATTCTAGAAGTAACTGCGGCAAATATTTGAATAACGCGAAATAGCAATATATATAGCCACTACTTTATTATCCGACTCCCATCTCATAGGTGTGTGCGGATACGCGTCTATTTCTAATTTTAAAGGGTAATTTGTAACTCTTTAAACCCAACAGAGTAATTTAACGAAAAGGTCGAAACATTTAGAAACATATATTTACGAAAATAAACAAAGGACGTCCAGCTAACATGTCCGGTTACAAAGTCCATATGTCAACTTTGACGTGAAAACAAACTGGTTGTTTCAAGACTTTTTATTTTTATTTTTTGCAAGAAATATATTCTGTGCTTTATATTCTTTCATATTTGTTGTATCTATAATTTTTGTGAAATAAATAATTGCATATATCAGGAGACGCGGTAGCGTCTCCCGCCTAATAATTTTACTTGAAATAAAATAAAAATCTTACTCTTTATCATCCTTTGTCTTTATATATTAAGACTAATTCGCGGACTCATGTTAATGTATCTGTTTTATTTCTCTATATGCTATACACTCCTGAATTTTTCGACTCTGTACCTTTTGGATTTACCTCGTATTAAAATCAAATCGCACTTCGCGATTGGCACTGGCTGATAAACAAGAGAAAAAGAAAAAAAATGATGCGACAGCGACTTTTCCCGTAGCAACGCGACCGCGAAACTGTCGCTGGAACTTCACCTTCGCCGAGGTAGATCGATGAGTAATTACGCGACGCATGTGTTAGACGACACGGGCAGGTGCGACATGGAATCTTGCAATTTTCTTCCATCCGTTTTATTTGTTCCACGTGGAAATCGCCGGACGCACGCGCGACCTCCCCTGAGTCGCGTAATGACTCTAATGAGGTGCGTATGTATCACGCTATCGATGCTGTGACACTCGTTATACTTCGTATGGTAAGACGCAAGATGAATCGAATAAAATATCAGATAATCGCTGGCGCCGCGCCGCTCGTTCTCTGTCGTCAATCCGCATGCAGGTAGACGGCACGTTAAACAATATCGCGAGAGATCTCGGTCCATGTTGTTCCCTATCTGTAAAGCGGGGGGATACACCGTTCAAATAAACCTGTATACAGATCGTGCTCGGAGCCTCGTGCACTTTCTTACCCGGTGATTAATCATCGCGTACGAAAGAGGAATGAAAGTAATGAGAGAGATGGGAAACCATGGGATGTACCGGATATTCTGCGGTTTAAATTTACAATTCAATAATGCTGCGTCGAAGCTACCGGGTGAAAAATTACGTTGCTGCAAATTATAAATTATAAATACACATGAATTTGCAACAAGCTTGCAAAGATGATTTTATAAGGAAACAAATGTTACGGTGGGAAAATAACTGATATGCGCCTTCCTTTTTATTTTGTCGCAATTACGGATATGTGGGCTGCTTTAAAATCACATGTGTAAATCGTAGCCGGCTGCACTCAAAATTGCGTACAGGTGAAAACGTAATATAATTCTTGCCCGAGCACTCGGTATGCAAATGTGTAACTAACACTGTTGTAATGATAAGCGTTCCGTCGCAAGTTTCGTCTTAGATTACTGATTTGGTTTGTACACGTAACGTCTCGCTTTGTGGCTTGCCGCTTCAAACAGAACGTAACGTGCACCCCCCTGCAAACTTCGTAACAGTTCCACGTTTGCAAGTTCCACGTCCAAGTTTGTGACACATCCCACTTCGGTTCTAATTACGCATTCAAATGTGTGCACGTCAAAATATACGTTAGTACATTATATCAGTTAAACTATTAGTGTCGTATACGATGTGATTGATCGCAATTACATTTCATATTGTCTCATCGAAGATTTGTAATGCAGATCATCTCTCTCGCCGCGGCTCTCAATTTTTCACGATTAACTTACACATTTCGAGTTATTTTATCCCTTTCAGTCAGTAAATGGTCGGCCAGCTCGTCCTGTGTAACTCCAAATTATGCATGTGGAATAAATTATCAGACGACACCGCGGCGGCTGCTTTAAATTCCGCATAAATGCGCGATCACGAAAATCGCGCAAAATCCCTTCCATCAAAGAATGTCTATATTAAATATTCCGCCATTCCATCTCATTTTCGACTGAATTGTCGACATGACATACATGCAAATTCTGCCGGTGCATTCAAATAGCATTCTGACATACTTCCTTGTACCTAGATACGTGTTATCATCGGAAAAACTTTCACCTGCGGCACGAGCTCAGATGGTAGCGCTACAATTTTCTTATTGTTAGTTCATTTTATTGTCCCTAAACGGGTTCTATAAATAAATTTCCAAACTGCACGATACGATCATACGAAATTACATGAAAGCGTAAGTAAATAGAGTTTTTATCCAAATCGTTTTGCTTTTTTATTAATTTAATTAATGAGCAGAGAGCATAAAACATATATTGTCAATATTTTGCAGAGAGAACGAGGAAGAACCTCATATTAAAATAAATATCCAGTTTAAATAAATTAGAATAGGTATTTAAATAACGAAGCATGTGTATGTATGTATGTGTATCTATTTATTCAGAAGAACATAAATAAAGTTGTATATCGTGTAGTATAAATTAAAAAAATAAACATTTAAGTTACCTAAAAGATTACAGTAGATATATTTTATAAATATTTGTATTCTCCTATTTTATAACTGATACCCTGATCAGTTATAAAACTGATCATTATGTTATTAAAGTAATAACCCTTTTTATTAGTATTACTTATAAACGTATAAAACTATGGTTTGTGCATCGATTTTTTTCTCGCGTCAGATATATTTTTTATTGTTCACATCCAATCTTTACGTGCTTACCGAAACATGAAGCTCAGAGAGTTTGAAAGAGAATGAAACCTGATTTTCAAGTACGTTTAGCGAGTAATGGCAGATCCCCTTTTTTTTGAAGTCTTCTCTTTTATCGTTAGACTCAGGTGGCTATTCTATTGTACCTTTTTGTTTCTTGCATTCGCATTTCTCACGCCCGAGCAGGACCATCGCTCACGGTCTGCTAAAACTCGCACAGTAATTTAATCTTTAAGTTGGCTCGAAGGTATGTCTACATCAATAAATCGAAATTTAATGCGCAATGGAATATTGAAAAAAATAATTAATATTTATAGGCCGCACGCGCCGGATCAAGAAGACCGAGACGGGAACGTAATCTAGGCTTGAAAATTAACTGCCTACGCGCGTGCTATCGTGCTCAATAACTCAATATCTACGATCACGTGAGAGTTAATTAACCCCAGCCCTGGGAAAGCGCTGACGCGAGTCCGCAAACTTTCCGTCGCTAATTTCTAAGCGCTCTTTGCTATCTCAGAATGAAATTCCGGATCGATCGTGCGGATCGCGGAGAGAAAGAGATTCCTGAACCGGTTCGGATCGAAAGTCCGCCGGAGAGTCGGAAACCGTCGCCCTTCTTATCCGCATCCGCTCCCCATCGCGAAATCGCCACTTTCGAAACGTATTCGCGCATCGTGAGTAGATACGTGACTGCGAATAAAAGGTCCGAGCGATCGATCGCGATCGGAAATAGCAAGTGTGCAGCTTCGTAACCTTTTTTGAATCGATCACTTGTCAGGAGCGCGATCGCCGAGCGAAAAGGTCGCCGTAGCGGTCAATTAAATCAAGGCGCGAGGTCGATGTTAACACACCGTGATACAATTTCTCATTTCCCCTCTCCCCATTGTCGAGGCGATCAAATTAATATTGTCAGCGATATGCATCGAGGACACGTCTCTGCGCCTATGTATTGCTATGTATACGCGAGTTACGACTTGTGTCAGTAGCACACAGCTTCCCTCTACCAGCATCTGTCACACAAAATTCCTGATAAATTCTGAAAAGATATCCTACCATACTGTAAAATATATAAAATATCGAATACACGTTCATGAGTGATTTATTAACGTTAAGCTGCGTATAATCACGTAATCAAAGCGAGAAGAATTTTCCTTAGATCACATGAAAAAAAAAGATGTATGGCATAGTAGGTGTGATCTATATTTATGGTTAAAATAAATCTCAATCTAGATTGATATTTTTATCGATCTTGCGATTAACTCTGTTTTAAACGATGACAACGGATGTTGAAGAAATAATGATAAATGAGGACTGCAAAATGAAAGCCGACCGTTTTGGTGGGCTTTTATTTTCAATTTTAACGCGATAAGTAGGATGAGTCGAAGCTGATATGTGATGATTTATTACGACGACACCGCAATTTCTGTAGTTTGCGAAATTCATGGGAAAGTTGGATTAGTAGAGTCCGATCTCGTCCAGCAAGTATTCCTACGCGGCTATCGGAATATTCAAACAGTAAGGGAATTTCGATAGTTCTCATGTTGCAGTATCGAATGCGATGAGCTTGCGCGTGTAACCCGTCGAATGAGTTTCGTAGTGCGATTTTCCTTTAACGATTACGACTCGGAGAGATGTTAACGAAACTCAACCCTTTGACATTATAAAGACTCAATCGCCGCGTTAACTATTTAAATTTCCAAGTTACACTCGTAATTGCACTTCTTGATACGATCATTTTTATTTTTCGTTTTTTTTTTTTTACAATACCTGCCTGCGGATTGTACTTTAATAACTTCCCTATCCAAGAACCATTCGGTCGCTTGATAGCGACAGAGAGAATAACATTTTGTTGTAGTGTGTATACACTGAGAATATATAACAGTAGCATCAGAGTATTGTGATGTGCACGATAAACGCGTACGTGTCGTTCCTTTGTGTTCTCCATTTTTACCGTTCATCTTTTATTTCCCCCAAAAAGCCCGAGCTTTTCGTCAAAAGGAATTTCGGTCTGCTACAGAGAATCGCAATTCGATCATATTACCCTTTGAATACTGACGAAAGGAACAATCGTTTTTAATGACGCACTTTGTTCTCCTTAGTTACGTTATCTTTCCTTCTGTTAGTCGCAATGATGAACGGAGGCGTCCGTGACAATCACGAATCACGGATTATTCAGGTATTTTATAGCCCGTGCAGAAGAGATGCGCAAAACCGAATGACATTTTACGAAATCTGGCAGTTCCGTCACGTTTCTGCACACAAATTTTACTCTCTTGGGACCTTTCTCTGCGCAGAGCTTCAGCTAAGAAAAAAATTCATGCAAACCAATTCAGAGCTAAACGAATTTTCAAAATCAAGTTGGTTAATTAACGTAAGATGTCTTATATCTATGGATAACATGTTTATAAATTGACTTGAATAATAAAATTACTTTGACTAACATCGATTTAACTGCAAACTAATAATGTATGTTATTTAATATTAAAACGAAGTAGATTTATAAACTAATGTTTTCCCGTATTATTATAATATAAGTTATGCATGCACATAATTTCCGCATCAAAATACGTGCTATTCTAATAAACATGAAAATATAAACATTATGAATGTTTAATTTATTCTATTTATTAATTAATTTATTTCTATTTGCATTAGTTTATACCATAGCTACAATATAATTGATTCACATGACATCAATATGCATGTATTTTTGCAGAAGATAAATTATTTTCTATCGAATCAAAAGGATAAGAGACAATTCATCTCACTGGCATTTATTTATACATTATATCGGACGAAAAGACGACGATCAATAGAAGGGGACATCTATAGAAAGTATTTTAAGATCGTTCGAAAATTCGTTCATTCAGAACTCGGCGAGCGACGTCGCACGTCCGCCGACAATTGGCTTCCGAAAAGATAGAATTACTTTATGATCCAATTAATCATCCAGATTAATCTTACTTGAGAATCTTCTCTTAAATAGAAATGCTCTCAGGACAGCTCTGTTATATGATTCTCAGGGGCGAATAAATGTTGATTCACAAAAGTCGAACGTCGAATGGTATTATTGGACAAGATGCGCAATTCCTTACTAATCCATTGATTGAATCCCTCGCGGCGCAAATTGAAGTCACGCCGATTTGCAAACGGACCAAATTGGTTACGGCGTGTTTATCCGGTAACGAAACAAACGAGCAATCATTTGACGGTCCTCCGTCAGCTGAGCTCCGCCATTACTAATTCCCAGGAGAGAGAGATATTCGGCGGACTCTCTGAGCAATATCAGCGAAAGTTATCCGTCTCTTAATTCACGTCGACGGTGTAACGGAGGCGCTTCATCGCGGAATGTGAAGACGTCCGTCTGATGCTCAATAAAGGCCGTTCCCTCCTGTCGCCGAGGATCCCGCTTCCGTGGCACGAAAGGTTTTTGACTCGTAAACCGGATCTATCATCCAATAGCCACGATAACGGTCTGCGTGCAGACTGCGTTCTTTCATTTGATTGAAATTCAATATCTCGTTCGTGCCGGCGGGGCGCTCGTCGCAAAAAAGTCCAGATACTTTGGGCCGAAACACCCCCGCGCAAGCTCCCTTGACTTCGCCTCAAGGAAGCGCAATTCGCTTTTTGATGGAAATGAGATGGTCTCGCACGTGCAGACCGCGGCTTTTACGCCGGTCGCGATGATGAATACATTTTTCACGATTATTGCTTGCGACTTGCGTACGTCAATATCGTGTGTAATGTTAGATTGCTTGCTGCATCGCCGCCCACGCGTTCGTATCACGTTCGCTGGTAATATTCATGTAGGAGTCGAGGATCACGCTCGCGGCAGCTAAAAATTACTCTCGGATACGCGATGCCGATGAACGAGCCGGATGCGGAAATTTTCGGGAGGGATCAATCACGGCATCAGGTTAGTTGTACACACAAGCCTTACACACAAATTTGTTAATGGAACAATACCGTGTGTTCTGATTAAGTCAATCGAGACTCGACTTTGTTAATTCGTTTCGACAGTCGTTAATTAAATACATCAGAATACGGAGATGAAACGAAATTGGATTGACGTATTTGTATTAGGTTGCCGTTAATGGGGCGCATCACGAAGAAAATGACAGGATGTTAGCAAAGCAGGAAGTAATCAACGAGGCCGAGGTGACCGGTGAAGCCTGGACACCTCCGAGTAAGTCAATCAACCAACTCCTACATCGCACATTTGTCGCATTAAAATTTTCAGATAATCTCGAAGGTACGCACGAATGTATAAGCGCCAACTTTTAATTAATTAACACTTGAATTAATAATGTACTTAATTAACACTTAAATTAATAATGAACTTAATTAATTAATTAATTTTAATTAATTAACGTCTCCGTTTACAAGACAAGAAAGAACGACTAGTAATTTATTATTTATATAATATTATAACATATCATTATTAATTATTTTTCTTTCATATTTAATATTGTTCATGCTTTAATATGCTCTCTCTTCTTTCTTACTCTACACAAAGACATATATTGAATGAAAATAATTATATTTAGATAACCACAAAGAATTTTGAAATGTGTTCGTATATCTTTTCCTCGCGTAGACGATCGATCAATTCAGCAATGTGTGTTTTTCATTTCATTTCATTTAAAATCCATTGAGAAATTATCATTGAACTCGTGCGGCTCTATCCTCAGTCATCTGTTTATTTTAATTGACAGCCCGCATTGATATGTCCGTCGCAATCGTCGCCAAACAAAGATAATATTATCATTAATACGCAATAGCGTACGCAGAGTTTGTGTAATTTTCTTTCGTCTCCGGTCTTATACTCTTTACAGCGACGAAGAACACATATGTGCGCACGAATAAAGTTTCGCGAGAAGAATAGAGAGATAAGAATCGTAGAAAATGTTCGGTCGAAAAACGAGATTCCGCTTGAAATTTCCGCCTTCGTACTCGATATGAAACTTTGAAGGAGTTATTCCGTGATTTATTTCGTCGCACCATCTGCGGCCCGATAAAAAAGGCGTTTGTCCGGCCATGCAAGTGTAATTTCTCTGACTTACAATTCAGTGTAACGAGATTACTCTCGTTTGATCTTTCCTCCCAAGAAAATCAAATTGGTGTTACATATATGAACGTGCGCTCGCGAAACGCGTTTCAATCGCGAGACTCATCCGTATTTATTGCTGCCGTATTTACTTATTGCCGTGCGATAGGCGAACGTGTGCGAAGTATCGATCGATCTGCCAATCACGATATACAGAAGTGGTTTATTTAGAAAGGTAAACCACGAAATGCGATCGGCCACCCATATGTGTCATTGCATCGATTTCGCGAGTATTATATTTAATAAAATTATGAACACATTGTATTAATAATACGTTGCATATCGACTGTCTATAGAGAAATGCGTATTATACGCATGCATATCGATCTTTTACGGCATCCAGTGTCAATAAAACAGACGCCATAATTAATATATAAAGATATTTTTTTAAGTAAAATATAGTTATTAGTTTTTGAAACGACAATCAGATTCTACCGATACTCGACGGACCAATCCATCAGGATCAAGGGAATCACCGGAATTATCTCGTAAGATGTCGAGGACCGAAGCCGTTAGGCAAGATGTCATGAGGTTGAAGAGCGCCACGTTGGACAGAATGGGGAAGATGTTTAGAGCGCGCACGCCTGCTGCGGGAAGATCATTTTTAGGCTTGGACACCGTAAGTGATTTGGATCCTCGGGGCGTCATGTTTCACTGATGTGAGGTGCATCTGGGGACACGCGACGTTCGAGCTGCAGTAATATTTCGTGATATATGAATAAAGTTTGAATTTTGAGAGTGTCAGGATAGTGAAAACGAATTGTAATATACATACCGACCACATTCTGACCTTGAATCTTAATACATTTCGCGTGCCTGCACAGTATGGGTATTTTGTACTTTTATTCGATTATTTTGAAAAGTCTTTGAACATTTTTTATTAACCCTCAGAAATAAATTTCTGGAGAAATTTGATTGATAATATAAATCTCTTACGTTTTGAATAAATTTCTAAATAATCTATCCTTTAATTTTAATAAGTTTAATAAGAAATTTAATAGAATTTAAATTTAACGAAAGTATTTTTTTTCGCTATGTGAATGATTCAAAAAAACGTATTTATTAAATGATATATCAAGATTTTTCTAATAATTTGATTTATCTTCAAATTTATCGGTAATCTCATTAGCGCTCAACGAGCGTGTAATTGATTGTTTAATTAGGACCAGTGAAATGCATGTCAGTAGAATAATCGTTGTAAATTATGATCGCAAAATAGCATTAATTAAACACGATTAGGTACACGTTGATTGCATTCACGTTAAAAGTAATTGAATATTTAGTATAATAGGCTAAATTTCACAGTAACATTAGTTTTATATGTAATTAACTTGAATAAGTTGTGACGCAAAAAGTTTTAACGACTTATATATTCGGTACTTTTGACTCTTCTATTCAGAATGTGACAAGTGTCAATGATTATGACGAAAAAAAATCGAGGAAGGAAAAGACAAACTCTTTGGGACGGATGCTTAAGCTTGTCGACAAAGATGGCTCGCCTAGGAAACTTTTCGTCCATCCCCGAGCAGGATCGCTGAGTCGTATACTACGTAGACATCCTCATAATGAGGACAATGGAATTATCGATAAACCCGCGGAGGACACCGGGCGTGGAATTCTCTCCAGAATGCTTAGTCAACTGAGAGGAAAGTAAAGATTCAAAGAAACTTGTCGAGCGAATCTTTATTAGTAGGTAGGCAGGAGGCGCGACTCTTGTCGCTGAGACCTCGTACTTTAATTAGTGATTCTTAGAGTTGCAGTTACTAAATACTTTCCTTTTAAACAAACTTTGTTCTACCTACTTTATCGGGAGCATAGTTGCAACATTTATAATTTTGTTATCCTCTTTCGAAATTATAAAGGGCAGATTTTACGTAAGCAATTTATTAATGAAATTAACATAAATTGCTTGTACTTGAGGTGTAATCATAATTCCATATATTTTGAAATGAGAATTGAATAACACATATTAATTGTAGGTCGTCCCATGAGCAAAACTACCACTAGGCCTGATGCGCATAAGCGCAACAAACTTAATTCCTCATTAGAACTGCCATCAGAAATGCCATTAAATTCGAAGACGACTAATGTTACGTAGGCATCATTAGCGTCTAGAGAATCGACCCAGACATCGTTCAACTTGAGAGACATTTGTATTTATTTTGACTTATTGTAATAAAAAAAAAATTTTTTTTTTTTAATTATTTGATACATCGATATTATTAAATGGAAGCGATATCAACTATATTCAAAATAAAAAGAAATATATAATTTACTAAAAAATGTTTTTACAATTTTCTTATTTTTCTAAATACTATTTGTAAAGTATTATGTTTTCGATGGTGAGGGATACAAAGTAAGAGAAGAGTGAAAAGACAAGAGATTACTGGAAGAGCCACGTTTATTATGCAAGCGTGTCCCTTCTTTTTCGTATGCTTGTATAATATGATATTGCGGGACAACCCGTGCCCCTTCGTGCTTCGCGCGCACGTGTTGTACAAATTCTCAGATACGTACTAATATGTATTACGATGTGTTACGTGACAGAAATAACTGTGTGAGTTTGCGAACCGTGTGTCGCGTTGCGAGGGAGATGGGTATGGTGAGATTCTTTATTCGCGTGAAGCCGCCGCCCCCCTTCCCTCCCCGCGCGACGGACCGTCCTCTCGCAGTATAAAATGTATTTACAAAAGAGAATTATAGACCTACGCGGAGTATGCGCTTGTGTAAACCTGTCGATTCCTCCGTGAAAAATCGCGGCGAAACATCGGAAGCAGCGATTTCCTAGCGGTTTCTTTCTTCACTCGCTTCAATTGTAGGGTACTCGCTTCGGATTCCGCGTCGCCTTGCGATCGAGTCGTCGCGATGACGCAGCACCACGCGACACTAATTCGCCGTTCTCGGGCGAAAAGTATCCGCGTGATCGATACGTCCGGGGGGAACGTCCCCTCGCACGGTATCCGCCGTCGTTTTTTTCTTTTTCACAGAGAATCGCTTCTGAGGACGACGAGTTCGTGGACACAAATCCGACATAAAAAACTCGATCTTAATATAAAATTATATACAATGTCGCCCTGCAGATGTAAACGGCACGCGGTATACATTAACATCTCGCTCCGCAAGTTTCGACGTTAATGATCGATTCAACAGCAATGATTGGCACGTACATACTAACGCGGGCGGTGAAAATGACTTCACTATTAATTCGTTTGTGGGAAGACCTACCGCGCATTTGTGCCTGACGGATCGTTTGTTCTTCATCCTTGATCAACAATCATGATTTATCACAGAATAAAATAATGCAAAATAGTCCAAGCGCTAAGCTATTTGTAAATCTGATGGATTAGAATTCAATGTATGTTCTCAATCTCGTCTCTAGATTAAAATCTAACAAATCCTATGATATTTAATTATGAAAGAACAGCGATTGCACAAAATTGCTGATTTCTTTGTATGTTACTCACATGCAGATTTGTCTGCGCATCTAAATATGAGATATAATGTTATTTCCTTGTTTATAATTAACAATCTGTCCCTATATTTTTTAAAGGAAACTTCTTTCTTATACTACGCAAATAATGTCCGAGTACATCATTGTGAAAAAAATTTTAGATCAGTTAAGTTTAATGATATGAAAAATAAAAAAATGTTTTAATATTCGTGACGTTATTGCAAATAATAACTCTCTAGTCTAATAAAATTTTTTTACGCGAAGAAATTTTCAACGTCAGTTATAGATAGATAATCGTAATTTTTAATTTAAAGTCATACAATAGATCTTTAAATCGTAGTCTATAATTTAAAAATTTAAAAAAAAAATAATTGACAACGATAACAAAATAGAAAATATTTGAGCTCAGTTTAATATAATATAAAGATCTAATTATAAATAATGTTCTATTTAACTAGGAATCGCTATATCATAGCGTTGAGGAAATGTACATGATATGAAATCGTTCATAATACTTCACATATTCAATAACGTCAATATTATGTGTTACGGTTAGAAACATAAAGTAAAATACAACCTTCCAATAGGTCAGATCTTAAAGTAAATATATAAAAATGTGAGAAACTGCAACACAGATATCAATATATAAATTTACAATCCGCGGAAACACAAAACTAATATCCATATTGCACAAAAACACAATAAAAAAATTGCCTTTCTAGAAACTCTTGTCTGAGTATTAACTATTAAGTAGAATAATCGACCGTCGAATTGTTTTAACAATTGCACTTCAATGCGTTCTTTGTCTACATTTTTCAGATGTAAGCAATAGTATAAGCGACATGAAGTGAAGTCAGCGGAATTGCTAGAATTCGGTATTGCTTTCTTCGCGTCTTTCGCGAATAATCTGACATCGATAGCGCTCTGCAGTAGCATATCAACAGCACAATTACTATCAACGTGCATACATACAGTTACATAAGATTATCATACAGATAATTTCGATGAATCAGAATTTTTATTAATCCGCCTTAAATGATTTATAAATAGAAAAAGTCGCACTATCTTTCGAAAAAAGTTAACTTAAAATCTGTAACTGTCATATTGACTATTCTAATTGATTTTCTTAATAGTTACATACGTGTCATTGACATTCATAAGCGAGTAGCGGATTAATATAAATCCTGGGTGTAGCGCTTACATGTAAAATGTAATTTTTAACAGCCCCTGCAATCGTTTACAGATCTGCGGTTCACAATGTGACCGGTGTAAAAATGCTCATCCAAAAATACATCGATGAACACGAAATTCTTTCTCCCTTTTTTTTCTTTAGAAATTTCATCTTTTTCAAAAATTTGACGGAGGAAATTCAGCTAAACCCTGATTGCGAAATAACTAAATTAATTAGTTTACCTACATCGTGCAATCGATTACGTTTTGCCACGCCTTTATCGAGAATATAAAATTAAGTACATGTATTTTGTATATCGCCGCAAAAGCGACATTAAATACTGGAAATGATCATTCGATTTTTCTACATGTCCTGCGAACGATCACCGTTGAGGGTCAACTACATTGCAAAAATTAAGGCCTATCTATCTGAAGCTATCTCTGGAACTGTCGGGGATTATCGCGCGGTATGTGACGGTTATCTAATATTTATGAAGTTCTATTGCTTTTCAACGGCGATTCGCGATGATAAGAGGGGTTAATACATAGCTTCAATCGACTATTCGATTGATTGCTTACATACACACGCGCACACATCCACACGCATACGCACATATACACACGTAACTCTGACTCCTTCCAAAAAATGATATGGCTTCTACGAAAATGCGAGTTTCTTGTTCCCACTGATATCGTTTCGCTCATCTCAAAAAAGAAGGATCGATTCAAAGCACCGCACACCCACACCCGCTCGTCCTTCCGATTCTCTTTCCCCCTTAGATAATTCGCTTTAATATTAACACTATTACTTATCAAACCATCGTCTGGCGCACGCGTATCTCTCATATGGCTCTTGGACGGACGGTTTTTGCCATTCCGAACGATAACTCAACCAGCGTGATCGTCTTTGCGTCTCGCTTTTTGCAACGGATCGCCTTTAAGATTTCATCCAGCCGCGCACTACGTTATAATTCGGGGGGAAAAAAAAAGATAATAAGACAACGTAGGATAATCTTTCACGCGTACCCGTTCGAGTGGAACGCGAAGTATGAACAAAGTGTTATTGGTGGTAATCTCAGAAGAATGTTTTGCATCGGGAGAGGAACCAAGACGCCAGTTCGCAATGTGCAATCTGCACGATCCGCAAAAATCGATCTAAAAATGCTCGTGTGTACCTACATCTCACATATTGCGACTTAACAAAGACGTTCAATAGACTCATTGCGGATGCGATGTGGTCCGAGGCCCCCATCGTGACACAACCAGTGGAATATGCATCTCTGCACTCGTTACAGTATACGACTTACATCTATCAACATCGCGCGCCTTATCAGCTTCCTGTTACTTATATAGATATGTATACATGAGTTATATATTAATAAAGACGTAATCTCTCCGACCGTTGCGCAACGCGTAAGCATAAAGCGTCGCGCATGCATTTGATTTGTAATCCCACACTTGGCAGCATATTCGGTTTCACACCGTCTTCTCGCGTCTCCCCCTCTGTCATTTACCCTTTTACGGCATCCTTTTTATACTTTTCTGACATAATTATCTTAGTCGTGAAATTATTCCACGCGTATCACGGATTGAACACGCTCAACTTCGATATGTGGCTGATAAAGAAATAAAAATGCGTGCTCGCTCATTGCATAACGTAAAATGCTTCTTCCAGGAGATTTCTTCCATTGATTATCCCCTCGCACGCGACCTAATTAATTTCTAGATAATTAATCTTGCGCTGTTTGCTTTTGTCTTTATCCGATTTAGACTGTCATTCCTTTATGTTTTTCTTTTCCAAGGAAACTTGAAAAATTCTGGGGATTCAAGCACCTTTGGATAACGAGATTCGCTCTTGTTGCTATTGATCATTACTCCTAACCAGCAGTCGAACCATCACATCCCTGACTCGGCTATTCCTTCGTCATCTGCAAAAGAGATTAAATTAGAAGAAATTCGAATTATGATTGTATAATTGCTGTTTGTCGTGTACATTGCCATCATGCTCGATGCAAGCTACATTATTATTTTTGTGAATGCAAACAAATCAATATTATTTTATAAATAATTAAATTTTTAAATGTACATCTTTTTGAAATAAATTTAAACTTTAAAAAAACATTTAAATATTCTATACGTGGTCTACGAATTAGAAATAATTTAGTAATGTGACAAATTGCGTAGAATAAACTATATGTATCTGAACGAGACAAAATATTAATATCTAATGTATTGCAAACGTATAAAGCAAAATTAGGAAAAATCTGTTATAAATCTTTTTGGCAATTGATCAGTCATTTGGTCATTGCGATTATTTCACTGAAATTTGTATGAAAAATTGTAGTAATCAAGTAATATGTAAATACAGGCAGGTATTCTTATTCGTTAATAAAACATCGGTGATTAGTGAAACATATGCTATTACTTTGTTCTCACATGCAACGTACACGGTTAGTACACAAATTTGGTAGCATCTGCAAAGTATAAAATTCATGCAGGGAAGAAGAAAAGCAACGATCGAAATTACCCTCGATGCAGGAGTCGCTGTCATTCGAAGGTCACCTCTCCTTCTCAGCCTCGGCAGGACTCTTAGTGCTTTCGACCGAGCTTCGATTTTTGCCTGAATACAAAGGTCGCAAAAGATTGCAGAAAGGGAAGGTGTGTGAGTTACTAGGCGGAAGAAGTGATAACATTTTACACACAAGAAGGGTTTTACACCATTGTTTTCAATCAGAGGGTAAAATGACATGTGCTTATAGCCATCACCACCGCCTACACCATAAATAACCAATTAATTTACTTTTGAAATCATATTTCTCCTCACTTAATTTAGTAAAATATTCCGCTATATTTTCATTAATACTATTTTATTAATATTTATGGTAAAATATATTTAACCTATTTTCGTGCAAGGGAAGACTCTGGCATGAGAAAACAACTGATAAATTACAGGTATTCCATTTAGAATCCCTTCCAATACATGCACTACCGATCGACTCCCTTTAATTCCTCAACAATCGAGATTTCGATTACCCATCGTGATGCATTCTCTAAGTCGTTCTTCATTTGATCACCTAACTTATCCCGCAATTGTCTCAATTAATCCAAGATTATTTCGTGAAAGTAATAGAATTTCAAAGCGTACCTTCGAATCCCTGATTGTCATGAATCTCTCGCGGTGGTCCAGTAGTATCCTGTCCCTCCAGAACGGCCAAGAGACACTGATGGATGCAGATATATTGCTGCTCCGTCTGGACCATCCAGACCCGCTCCTTCCTCATCGCCCAGACGATCCCGAAGATATCCACGTATTTCGACACGAGAATTTGCTGCAGTATTCTGTCTAAGGTGATGAAGGTGCCACTACGACCTACGCCAGCGCTGCAATGAACGACTATGGGCCTCTGATCGGGCCTGACGCGTTCCCTGAACGCTCGCACGAACCTCGCCAAGGTTTGCGGTGGACTGGGAACGCCGAAATCCGGCCATGTAGTGAAATGGAAATGTTGTATCACTCTCTTCACATCGCCCTGCGACACGTTATTTTTTTTTTATTTCAGTCAAAGGATTGGAAAAATCAACCACCATGAAGTGTTCTGACAAATCAATTACATATACTTGTTAAGAGTTTGATGGAAAAAGCAATAACTCACTCTGCACAACATGAATTCCGTGATACTCCAATCCGGGTAATGCGTCTCGTTGAGTATCGTGACACAGATATCTCCGTAATAAACCGGCAATGTGTCCATCGGCCAATAATGATCGCACTTTTCTCTGCCCTTCTCGATGCATCTCGTTAACATTACGATTGCCCTGCTGTTGCTTTCCCATACCATTCGCCAGAAATCATCGCGAGTCGAATGCAACGGTCCTTGAGTCACGATAAACTCTCGTGGCGAGTTGTGACCCTGTTGCGCCATAAAATAATGTCAAAGGAATGATCTCGAAATTAAATCGTTCTAAATATTTAGCCGCTTAACTAATTTTAAAAGAGGCCAGTCACGTACCGGAACGTAATTGGCGTTGATATAATCGGAGCCCTCCTCATCATCGACTGGTTGAAGCTTGAATCTACTGTGATCGTACGGTAGAATATTCGTGAAGCGATTCTTCGGCCTATTACAAGGCAAATCTGCCGCAGTGCACGGTTGATCTCGTCCGACGTGCTTCAATTCTTCGAATTCTTCCGAGAACCGGAAATCGGAATCCGCCGACATAGTGCGATAATGCTCGGCAAAATCTTCGACTTTGATGGGCCGACTAAACATAACAGTAAATATTATGTTAATATTATGTCGTATTGCAAATATTACAATTTTTTATTTTCAACTGTAAAGCCCTATCTACATAAGTCGCAAACGCAAAACGCAAACGCAAACGTGGACGTTTCTCTCTTTCTTTTTTTTTGACGTTTCGTTTTTTTTTTTTCCGCGTTTGCATTTGCGTTGTGCGTTTGCGACTTATGATGGGGCTTAAAATTATCCTTCAATACAAATTATTTTTACAATTAAAATTTATCTCTTGAGAATTAATTTTTGTAGATTAAATAAATTTTTTTTTGTCTTTAATTGATTTTATCTTAACAAATTAATTATTATTCAACGTGTGATTACCATAAAATTAAAAAAACGTTTGAAGAAAAATAATTATATATTTTGAAAAAGGTTGACTAGCTTCAAATTAATTGACGAATCGATAACTGAAAAGTTTATAATTTTTTAATATTATCCGTATTTTGAGCAAAATGAATCATCAAGCAAATTTATTGCAATCTCAATTCGGTAAAGTCGAGGTAGAGTATTGTATTTTCTTAGCACCTGGTCTCAATGACGCTGTCCGGCAATGATAAATTATCGGTTGCCCTGGTTTCCGTTGTCTTGCGACCCTGACTTCTTCTCCTTCGCATAAACAGCCCGATGCCCAATAGAAACAGCAGCAACGCTATGGCGACGGTGACACCGACTATGATGGCCGTGTTGTCCTTATCTGCTCGACACGCACAGCGAATTTTGAGTGTTACAGTGAGTCAGACAATCGCTAAGAAGAATTTAGATACGTTCGTTCGTTAAAGAGACGTCACACTTATCACGCGGCGTGGACAAAAGCTTTGAACTTCCATTCCGAAAACTTACCTGCCAGCAGCAATCCTTGGGCAGACATGTACACGAAATAACGAGGCATGAATTTAGCGAGGCTTTCACTACATGCGCAGTGTGCCTCCACTTTACAAGCCAGCTATCGCATCGGATGCATCGTTATTTTTACACATTATCATTATTATTTCTATAAACTTCACGTACATTTAAAAATTTTCACTACTTTGTGAAAGAGGAAGACGGAGATAGTGAAAATGAGAGAGGCATCGGATGCGTTAATGGCGCGCGGCTTTTCTCGCGTCTTAAGACTTTTCACGCGATCGCTCTCACCTGTTTGAATGGGGAAGCTGTAGCTGGTGTCCGTAAATTTGTCCGGCGCTGTAAACGCGCGCACTTTCACCCGATAAGTAGATCCTGACTTCAACGGTCCGTTACAGTATCCAATTTTGTTGTCGCAGTTCTCGGAGCCGATCGTAAAGTCCTCCACGGATCCATTTTTGAAAGGGTAATACGGCTCCATTACCTAGAGATTTTATTACAAAATATACATTTTATTATAAGATAATTGAGTAACTTGCTAGTCACGTTGAAATAATACGTAAGCATTATACGTTTCTGTTCTGATAAAATTTTTCTCTAACATTATAATCTAGTGTGTTTAAATATTATAATAATTAGTTAAAATATAATTTCTCTTTAAGTGCTATAATTAAATGAAATCAATCGTTCTCCTAATTTATTTCTTTCGTGTGCACCTTGTTTTCTATATTTTCATAATATTTAATTTATATATAAAATATTTTTACGATTAAAGAAGTTTTTTCAAAAATAAGAATAAAATAATTTAAATAAAATCATTAGAATAAAATAAAGCAACTGTTTTTCTACAAATTACGAATTTATCTATACATATATATCGTTTTCATAAACACCTGCATGAACATCTTCTTTGTATTTGAAATTAAAATATTTAAAATATCCATCATTGTATCTTCTGAACTTGTTCATAACATAAAATACGATCACATTTTTTGTGCTATACATCCAGCGACGAACTTTGCTTTTTCCTTGATACGCAATAATGGAACGTTAATATTAACATTGGTAATATCGTACGAAGAATCGATTAGAAGACCGCATTCGATTAGCATAATATCGTTGAATAGTCCATTAATATCACGTATAATTTTTAAGGTTGAGACAATCTGCAGTACGTTTTTATAAACTCATTATTTTCGGATAATTGAGAAAGAATAAATAAGAACACTCATAATAACGTTATAAAAAAAGAACGTTATAAAAAAAGAGATTAAAATACGTTTAAAGTTTTGTAAATTGTAATAAATTCGGTTTACACGCACTGCTTTTTCTTTCCGCGATCATAGCAACATGTAGACAATTAAATACAATTCCACTATTACAATTTTTTTAATGTTCATATCACGATGATCACATCTGCTCCTTTGCAGATTCAGATCGCAACTAGATTAGACGTATCCTTCGTTCCGCGTATAACGCTCTGGTGGCAGCCTACGGGCTATGATTGCGGATCTACGTCATAACGCATACATTTTACGACAACTGTCCATGATCTTGCAAGTCAATAAGTACAGCGCGGCGTATAATGTGCTGCATTGATTATCTTAAACGATTCGTTTTACCGCTTATCCTCCTGGTGTATTTTGTACGTATTGAATTGAGAATAACATTGTGAATTTATATTGTGACACAAATATTTTTATTGTACATTTATTTTATCGATTAAATTTAATGCTGCATCAGTTTTAAAATATTCATTTTATGTAATATTAAATATATATTTTTTTACAATCTGCCGCTTAACTTACGAGCAGACTTAAAAATTATTCGGAATTCTACACGATGAATATTAAATCTTGTGAAAAAACTATTTTGTCTCAATTAAATCTACATACTTCGTAATAATGATTATACAAAAATTGTGCAATAAGTTAGCAATAAAGTTTTTACCTGATAGGGTGGCCAAATGCTGTAAGCCTGGACGTCCCTCCAACTGGGCATCTCCAATCCAGAAGCGTTCTTACTGTCGTCTTCAGCAACAATGACGCTGTACGACGTGACCGCGCCGTTCTGCTCGCTGAAGTAGTTTTTCCTGAATCTGATTTGAATTGTCGTGCTGCTTCTACAGACTTCGGTCGGTACCACTTGCGTGGACGGCTTCGGCGGCGCCAATATCGGCATCTTTTGCTTCCACATTGCCTCAGGACCAAAGCCGATCTTCGTTTCCGCTTGAATCCGGAAGATGTAAGACTTGCCCGGTATGAGAGATTTGATGACGCCACGGAACTCGTTCGGCCTGAAGTCCTGCATCTGGGTGTGGGTCGAGCCCTAATGGGACCGCGAGAAAACACATCCGTGTTATTTAAAGCGCTGTCTGACATATATTTATTTCTTCGACGCGCAACGAAATAATACGAAATAGCTTTATCCGTTGTAATACGTTTCACGTTTTTTAAATTGTTTTTTTTTAATTGTAGCGCAAACGCAAATTTCTCAAGCATATTTAAAAGGGGTTCTTACTTCTAAACCGTAAGTGATAGTAAATTTTCTAATGATGCCATTTTGCTCCTGGCTCGGCAGAGACCACACGAAGCTGATGTCGCTCGGTTGAATGTCGATAGGGTGGAACCTCTCCACCTTTCCTGGATACGACTCGCTGGTGGTAAAGCTGGCGCTGAGCGGATTCGAGACTCTCAAGTAAGAGGATTCTGTGCCCGAACGTACAACCAATGTAAACGTATAATTTCTATGCGGCTTCAGATCATAGATGGTGATCACGTTGACCGAGGTTATATTTTGGATGTAGTTCCCTTCCGTATTTATGTACTGTACTTCAAAAGTATCGTACTCTCCGTGCGGGATGTCCCAGGTCAAAGTGATCCTCGTATCATTTACGTCGAGCGCGTGAATCGCAGTGATCGGTTCAGGATCTAAAAATTACATTTATCTTCGGGCTAATAAAGAGAGACGGTACGAACAAATGCCTGGCCGTTTATTACGTGAATATTAAAAGAAGATTTTTGTTTGCATAAAGATAAACATTTAAATATATGATACATATTATATATAATATATAAATATTAAATAGACATGGGGCTATGAAAATTTTGTCGGTATAAGAGATGAAACATAATGCGATATTATTACTCTTATAATATTTAATTCCTTCACTGCGATCTTTTCACAGTTATTACTTGTAATTAATTACGATGTTATATCACGAAATAAAATAGAGATGTAATTAGAATCTCAAAAGAGAAAATATAATGGTGCCATGCTTCTAAGTGGATTATCTGCGAATTCGTACAGTCTTTAAGTACGTTTTACGTTAGATACGGAAAAAATATATATTAAAAATGTCACTCCATTTTTAATTACTGTAAACACAGTTTAAGCAAATGTAGCGTTTTTAATTTTCGAGAATTGCTTCACACTGTATCTCGTGGATACTCACAGAGTCGGTCTTGCCGGAGGAGAGGTCTGCTCTCGACATTATCGCTTACTGTCCAAACAGTCACATTGTACAGTTTGCCGGGTGTTAATCCAACAAATGAAACCTTGGTGTCAACGTCATCCACCATACGCTCCTTCGTGGTGTTATTCTCATCGCTAATCCTGAACCGGTAGAGATTGAACCTCGAGGATAGAATCGGCGTCGGCGTATATCTTAACGTCAACGATCCTGGTTGGTCCCGGTCGACCACTACGACGACTTCGGACTGGATCAGTGGCACTAGATTTCAAAGTTTCGTTTTTTTTTTTTTTTTTTTTTTACCTAGTTACCAGTCGACACCTACCGCACGATCTTAATCGTTCTTAACTGCCCGTTAGATTTCAAAGAAAATCATTAAGCCGTTATAAAATTCCGACAGACATGATGAAATAATAGAGAAAAGCACACGATAATACGAGCAGGTTTAATAATAACTGGCAGTTAGAATGTCGCGTATATCTATTAGTCACGCTCAGGTGAAATCTGTTAATGAGCTGTTAAAGAGCGAGAAAAATGATGGCTACATTAATACGACTTCACTCGTCGTCGATGTTGAGTGAAATCGATCTCACTCACTCGTTCTTGTAGTTAAATTGGTGATGTCGCTGACTAGATCATACGAGATCGTGTAGACGACGAAGAAGTACTGCACTCCGGGCATCAGGTCGCTCACGAGGATCTTCTCGGTTTGCACAGAGTTCTCTTCGAAACTGACGTCGGGTACGTCGTTGGTCTCACTGACGTTTTTCGTCCTGGAGTCTTCTGGGTTCTCCACCGGCCACCATCTTATAACGTAGGTCTCGATACGACCCTCGGGACGCGGCCACTCGAGAGTTACATTGGTGGAGTCGATAATCGGGGTGATATTTAGAACTGGATTAGGCCCTAAAATGACAAAGGAAATATATTTATATCTAAGCCTGAGTTTCAGGTCGCTGTTTAATTATTTCAATCATATCGATCGTTATCAAAAAAATTATGTAACAGTTGTCGATGTACTTACTGACTGTGTGATTCACTTGCAACGGATACAAACTCTCGACGCCGTAACTGACGGTGTTCACTTGTATGGTATATCTCTCGCCGGGCGTCATATCCGCCACTTCCGCTTCCGTGTCACGAACGCTGGGAAGTTTGACCCACCTTGGATCGTCTTCCGTACGATATCTGATGGAGTACTCGGTGAATATCGAGTCCGTCGGCGCTTCCCAATGCACGACAACGGTGTTGCTCGTGACTTTTTCGATACTGAGATTCTTCGGTGGATGAGGCACTAAAAAAAGTAATTTAACGAATTGTTATTATTAAATTGAATAAACTTTTACGGTTGAACGAACGATAATGATGTGAGAAGCCGATTAAATTTATTACTTACGAACGGCTTGCAAGTAGTCGTGCGGTTCGCTCCGAAGTCCATGACTAATAGCAAAGACCTTGACCTCATATGCCGCACCAGGATACAGATCTTCCAAAACGATATGCGATTCCGTAGTCAGAGTGGTTGCACTTTCTCCAGTGTCATTTCTGTTGTGGGTCACTTCGAATTTCTCCTGTTTAGAATTGACATCGCTCTTCCAGGAAATATTTAAACCTTTCTCAATAGGTTTCAGATCTTCGATTACAGGACTAGCTGGACGTGTCGCTTGGTACAGGACGGTTTCGTTCGACTCGACTTTATTGCTAATCGCTTGAACGATTATGGAATAATTTCTTCCGGGTAGCAGAGCTTCCAGCGTGACCTATCGATTTTACAATTATGAAAGAAATGAACGCGAAGAAACACTGCGCAAGATCTTTCTCGTTTAATAGCAACACACTTACCTTTGTTTTATCAGTCGTCAAAGTATTACTATCACCACCGATCGTTGTTTCCACTTCATGATATTGTAGCTTGTAACTATCCTGCGTACTGGAATTCTCTGGACTCCACGAGACTTCTACCATACCAGTTTTCTCGTCGATCACCGCTCTGAGATCGTGAACAGGCAGCGGCTCTATAAGTATGAATAAAGAATGAAGAAATAACTGTAAATAATTATGAGCGATGCTATCTTCGGTGAGAGTGCTACGTTAAGGGAAATGGACACGTACTCAGAGTGACGTCTCCACTGGCCGGCCAGCTGGTGACTTTGCCAGAAACCGTCTTCACTACCACTTGATATGTTTTGCCAGGCTCCAAGTCCTTGAACTCCCATCTGTTCTCGTCGTCCCGGTTTCGCGTGACTGGCGCAAGCCTCCTGTTACTACCGAGCGATATTTGATACTTGTCGAATTCGGATGTTCCGTTGGGAGGATTCCAAAACATGCGAAAGGAAGTCGATGTTACAGAGGTTTTGTCGAAGGTCACGTTGAGCGGACGCAACGGTACCGTACGATACTGTGCTGTTGTGGGCGCGGACGTTTCATCTTCGGAAACGGTCTGTACGGAAATGTTGTACGCTCTACCTATAACCGGAAATACCAACAATTTAGAGTTTATATACTTTAGAGGAATAAAACGCGTTCATATTTTTACGAAATAAATAGCTTCTTTTCGAATTATTCTATTAAATTTTTTTCTGTTGCACAATTTTACTGCTTTCTAAAAAATCGCACCACAGATACCAGTTGTGATAACGAATCCCGTTGCATATAATTAGACGAATTAAATATCTGTATATTAAATACAGAGAACACAAAACGTTTAATGTACTTTTTAATTAAATTTAAATAATCACTTTTGTAATTATTTGTCTTATCTATTAAATAAATTATAATTTCTAAGATAAGAAACTTTTTTTGACAAGCCTATATTCACGTTCTACTTAGTAGACCCAATTTTTTTGATGATAAAAGAGATAAATATTGATACAATTGTGGAATCCATTCGTATTGCAACTCATGCATTGCTCTATTTACAGCAGATGCATACTTTCTCCGCGATTCTACTTCAGATAACTTCGTTTCGTACGGCTAGAAAAAGGGAACATAGTCGATTTGATTTCGACGCGAAAGTAACGCATATGAAATTTGTTTGTATGCAATTTAAAAAATTTCTGCTCAAAATCAATTTTTTTTTTAAGCAGAATATATTTGGAAACACGTAATAGCATCTGGTTTATTTACTGTGTCCGATAGTTTCGTAATATGAGCTTGTGATTACATGACAGCAACTGACCTGGAACAAGTCCTTTGAAAGCTGCCTGTGCAGGTCCAGGTGGCTCGCCTTCCTTCTCCACATAGAGAACGGACTCTATCGCGTCAGATGGGTCTATGCTAATTTTGTAGTGTGTGTATATTCCGGCCGGATAAGGCGGTTGCCATAGTACCAGCAGCGTCGTCTCGTTCCTGAACCAGACGATGAACTTTCCCGGGATGTTTGGCTCTATAAATAATCCCAACGCTAGTACACGTATCGATCTTTGTGAAATATTTATAGTTCGCTAGATATTGATATACTTGTCGTAAAATTCCTGCTGGTATAAGCGACGCTTTCTTTGGCGTCCAATACGGTGAAGAGTTGAAGCGAGTACGTCGCACCAGGCGTGAGATCACGTAGTGTGTAGGGCACCGAGTCAACGGGGATGACGGTGGTCTTGGGATTTCCGGTATCGCTGAAGCTCTGCGTCCGCAACCGGAAACCGGAATAATTCCCCTGGGCCGGAGGCGACCAATATACGATCGCGGTCTTCCCATTTCGTACCGACACCGTCAAGTTTGACGGAGGATCGGGTGCTATAATGAATTAAATTACATTAATTGCCTCTCCCGAGAAACTAGCAGCAAGTCAAGCAACCGTTTGTTGTAACTTTGCGTTTGCATTTATAATTGTTTAATCATTAATTTAAAAATTCATCAAAATTATTAAGATAAACCGCATGTAAATCACTTTGATAATAATAATAGCTACAAAAATAAAATTTATTTTAGGAAAAAAAAGGTACTGTCAGAAATCTCGGTCAGATAAACAGAATCAGATTACATACGTGTCGTAATTGACGCAGTCCACGTCAACCAATCGTGAAGAGTGCTGTTGCTGTAGTACAGCCAGTACTCGTATCTCGTGCCAGGTAGGCCGTCCCTGAACTTTATGACATCACCTATGTCGGTGGCGGCTATGGTGGTGTTTGGCGGTGGAGAGCCAACGGGTGGGCTGTAATCCAAACGGTACCAGGAACCACCCTGGCTCAGATTACCCGGTATCTCGATCGCGAGATCGGCCGAGTACGTGACCTGAGGTGAAACACACAGGATCGCCGTTAATTTGCGCGCTCGTATCATCATTCGCTTAATTAATAACTCCGCGGCATTAATTTAACAGTATGTTGCGGTATTAGTATACGAAAGAAAAAAAAATAATGCAACGTAGGTACATCATGCCGTCGCATTAAATTTTGCTAACGATTACATGGATAGCAAAAAATATTAAGAGAATATTCATTTTATTTATTAAAAATAGTTTTGCTGATTCTGCAAATTATTTCGCTACAAATAACAAATTTCTTGTTTTCCCATCGAAATACATTTGCTAGAATATTTCATCAACAAATTAATTTTTTTTACGGCAGATCCATAATTCTACGAACAAATTTACACAGCAGAATTTTTTAATTAAAAAAAACACATTTTATTATAATATCCAATAATTGGTAAGAAAGCTTTAATTGCATCGAATATAAAGTAGCAGTAACGGTTCTACGACGGCAAATTTCCTTTCCTCCGCGCGTGTATGTGGGTTATTAATTTATAATTGAACAGATACTGCACATGCGTACATGTAAGTTAATTAGAGCGAGGTATTAAGAGATTCGATTACGTTTGAATAGAATTGGATTATGCAGCGTGTCCTTATGCAACAACCTAGTTCTATGAGAACATGCGTACGTCTAACTGTTTCGGACTCATCTTGACGCTTGTATGCCTTTACTAGCTTCGCCACGCAATGTCGTAACCGTGATCCGCGGGTCGAGCTCGTGTTGGTAAGGACCCGTTATGAATCAGCGGTGTATCTTGAATTTCAAGGTTCTGGCGTGTCCTTAAAGTTAATCAAGAAACTGCAAGAGGGTCATTTTATCGCGTCTCATCAATCCCTCCCATCTATTTTTATTTTCGCCGATGTAAAGATAATACCTAACGATAGCAAGAAATTTCTGCGCTCTCGTAGTAGTAACGGTTGATTCGATACGTCTGATTCTTGCGCGATACCGTGATTCCCACAGTGTGAAACGGCTCTAAGTTTATGGGCGGCTTTTAACGAGGCCCACGACCTCCGTTCAGCGCTTCGCTTTCTCCATCGCGAAATATTGGCCATTAACTTGCGAATGCACGATCCGTCCGGCTCCCTTGTACCAGAGACGTTTTTGCTTATTTTTCCAACCGCGTGTCTAACCGCGTGGCAACACGCGTTTAGTCACTAAATCGTTTCTCAGACAAGAAATTTTTTAAAATCTCCCCCTAATGCATTGAGGTTGTTCAACGAAACAAGTTATTTTAATTAAATTTATGACACAATATATAATAATATGTGCACGAGATTTTTGTGAATCAGAGAAAAGTTGATTTATCCAGTGTTAATGCCAGAAATGTCTCACACAAGGTACGAGAGAATAAAGTGATAGTTATGGGAAATCATGCGAACGGTATGTTGATTTTAAATCGATGTTACTCGCGGTTACTCACAGCTATGAATTCTTACGAACTACAGGCAGACAGCATATGTGCACGACATATACACTGGGAAGCAATGCGTTCCCAGACGTGGGAAAGATTGCAGACCTATAACGCTGCCGCTGACACGTAATAGAGAGCTCTCTACAGCCGATGTCCAATATACCATGCTATTCAATATTCAATAGGAAAATTTTATTTGTAGAAAAAAAGTGCCGCTGTTCAAAAGTTATTAAGACATATTTTCTTTTACTAAATCCTCTTATTGAATACATTATTTTATAACGAATTGTACGCAAGCGAAAAAATCTGTGATATATATCGAATATAAAAAGAAAAGAGATACAATGGGGGAGAATTGCCGTAATCAAATCTCGTTTAAAATTGTCAGAGGAATAATTTGTCAATCATTAATATCCATTTACGATAATCGGTATGACAGGAAAATCGTTTAAGGTACGAGAAAAATTAAAAATTACTTGATTTCTCAATAAATCTTAATGTTACTAATTGACGCGTCTAACTTGTCAATAAATCAGTTACTTTATACATGAAAACTCAAAAGCAATGTTGATGAGGTTGGAACTATTGATATGATGAATCTTTCAACATCCATTCGAGGTTTAAAGTGACGAAATCGCTTTTCCTACAACCGCGCACGACAGTGAGGTGCATATTGATCCCTGCTCCATCTCCCTCTATCGCAACGTCTCTTTTCCCGCCTTCCCTTCGTTTCTCTCAATCGTACCCCCCACGGGCAGCCTATCCCTCGTGCCTGACGTCGCACGGACGATGACAAAAACTCCTAATTGTACAAAGAAGGCACGAATAGCATGCCGGCTTGGCAGAGATAATCGAGAAATACGTGGCTGAGGCACGCAAGAATTTCGTTTGCCCCATGCTCCCGAAGGGAATAAATTCACTCTGCGGTTGAAGATATTTGCCGCGCGATGATTAAACGCGGCGTGCCGACAACATGGTAAATTACGCGGTACATTTCACAAAAAGCGATAAAAAAATTTAATGATTCGGAGATTCAGTGATAGGTCGCGGCAAAAAGAGGTGTTTGAATTTTTTGCGAAAATACGTTTTGTATTCGCAGAGAGAATCGTCGTTGGCATTTAAAAACCGCATTCGAAATATATTTATTTTAATCTCTTACAAATTTATACAAACGAAAAGTGATAAGCAAATATTAATTTGGTCTGCAGATCCGTCATTCGAGACAATCATAATTGCAAATGTAACTCTGTTATGATTGAATTACATATGACACACAATATCGCAACGCAAAACATGTATGAAATGACTTATTCTACAGATATCTGTCACAAGAAAATAAAACAACGCTGAATAAACCAATGCAGTTATATTTATATAATTTTATTAAATTGTTATGAGAAGTAAAAGACTGCATTCTAATATTCATATCATTTATAATATCGCTCCAAAAATACTTTAACATTTCTTTCTGCATAGCTACATCGAGTTTCAAAGTAGGTTTTATATCGTGAATGTCGCTTCAGAAATACCTCGACATTTCTTTCTGCATAACTACGTCCCAATATTAAAGTAGTCTTTTATCTTTTTCTAACACATTTTACATACTGGAAAGTTTGAGCTGTAGTAACACATCATGTATGTCGCTTCAAAAATACCTCGGCATTTCTTCCTACATAACCGCGTCCAATTTCAAAGCAACGCTTTTAATTTTTTTCCTACCGTACTTTATTGGAATGTTCGATTTAAGTGGCAACGATGGCTTATCGCTTCCAGTCGAGATTTTGAAAGTAGAAAGTAGCATCCAGCGACTTTCCGTGAAGTATACACGGCGCTCGATCGCATGTTCGAGGTCTAGCGTGCGCGTCACTTCCGGTTGACCGTTGTCATGCGGCTAGCGTATTTCCGACCTTGCGAGCGATTTTCGCGTTCAACGTAGTACGTGGAAGTAGGTGGAAGAGGCGGAAGTAACGTGACTGTGACACCCCATCGGCAACGCGTCCGTGACACTTTGTAATTAATATGTGCCGTCCATTACCCGTTCCTAATTTACTTCGGTATCCTGTTATTATGGTATAAACAAGCTTTGCTTCCTTTTTCTTTAAGCGGATATCTTTAGCGCGTCAAAATTTGATGAGTTTGAGTTGCTTAAAAAAATTCTTTTGAAAATTTGATTTTTCTGTGTTATACACAACGTTTGAGCAATCAGAAGAGAAGTTTCCTTTTCTTATATTTAAAATATTATTTTGAATACTGATGATTTTTAAACAAGTTGTTCAGGAGATCATCCAAGATAATATTGATTTCAATAAAATAAGTATAGCAAGCATGATGAATCATGATTACTTGTCATCCGGTACATTATGTCGACATCGGAATTGACTGACTGCATCCTCCACCACATTCGTATCATTGCGGTATCACGCATTTATCTTTGTCGGTATCGTCATATCCTCCATTCTCAAAAAGTTATTTCTATTAGCAGAAACTATTTGTGAAGTTGCTAAAAAAAAAGTATTAACTAGCTACTGTTCGAGAGACTAGTACTATAGAAGTTCTCGGGTCTATGCCCTCGACTTTGCTTTGTCCCAATCCGAGAATAAAGAGGAGATATATTTTTGTTGGAAATCCCATTTTCAATTTTACGCATTAGCTATGAATTGCAGACTGGTCGATACAAAGCGCGACAGAAATCCAATATTCCCTTTGTCTCACAAGCTAGAACGGCAACAAACGTACACATACGCGTGGAACGCATTCTGGTTCACGAACGTACTCCGAATTCGTAAATAAGTGAGACCGTGATCGTGCATAGAATAGTAGAAACAAGCGGACAAAACCGACGAGTCTCGCGGGGGAAAAAAATTCCAGGCTTAAACGTGGGCAAACAACGCCTGGGAACGTAACGAAATAAACGCCCGGAGGCTGTCCTCACAGCAGCTGTAAAAATGAGGCCGGTTTATGAACCGCGAAAGTAACGGCGGCAACGCTCGCGGATATTTCGATAGCGCATAAAATGTATATCGTCTCGTTTTGCTAATTTTACAAAATTTATAAAGGTAAGCGACATGTGCTCTTATCCTGTTCCATCCTGTGTCCTTGTTACGAGCGTACTCGGAAAAACATTGAGCGTATCGTAAATCCAACGATCGTTTTATTCGCACAAAGAGAATAAAGAGAGGCGCTCGTTTCGAATGTGCACTTGGAAGATTCTAAGTAGCTCGCGTGCTTCGCCATTTTTACCCCTTGCAAAACCTGTTGCACGACCTTGTTCGATTCGTGCACGGTGGCCTTCCCTTTCTTCCCTTTTAATCGCCATTCAGTATCCTCACGTCTATTTTTAAACAATTATATATGTATATCTCCCTCTTTTTAAGCTCCGTTGGACGAAGTCTAACTGCTCCTTATTTGTCGCGCGATAATATTTGTGTCACACAAAAATGTAATGCGGGTACATGCAATGCGCCAAGCTGGGGAAAAGCTACATACTTATAAGAAGCTATTTATAAAGTTCACTATTTCGGAAAATTATGATGTAAATGGCGTGCAAGGCGCGCTTCACGATA